TAGGCTCATAACGGTTCTGCAAAATAGGGATCAAGGTTCATAACGGTTCTGCAAAATAGGGATCAACTTTGGCAGGTAACCGATTTATAAATATGGCCAACTCGTTTGGAATTCCTAATCCAAGGACATTCTTTATTCATGAACACGTCGTGTAACTCGTTTTAGCACGGATTTTTGAAGGGGTCTGCATTCCATTGATGAGTCTCTCACGACTTCAGGACGAAGGTGGGCGATTAACAGTGTTTAATTTAGCGGTCGTTTTATGATGTCATATCGTGTCGGCTCCCACGATCCAGGTAGAAAATAATTGCCGAAATATCTTCATTTATATGTTCACTTTTATTTCCCATGTTTGTGATTCACCCCTTTGGGAGGGAAATAGGAATTAACTCATAGCTTGCAACCAATAAAAAGAGATTGAGGAATACACGTCTTGAGATTCGCTCATTTCATATACGTACGCCTACTGTATTAATAATAACAATACTTAAGTAATGGTGATCGTAGGTTAGTTGAGGTTAGTTGCATATTACGGACTTTAAGGTTTTATGGTCGGCATACCTCTCCTTAAAAATGTTGTTGAGAACAGACATAAACGGTGAGCCCTACATTAGGGATTACTTGTCATACCAAATCTATTTCCCTCCATGGATAAGTATTTTCTGACACGCTGATAGTCACTCACCTAGTGAAGTAATCCTCCACCTTTTTTTAGCTTAGAGGCTCATTATCTTTATCACAAGAACCCGCCATCTTATTTAATATCCATCTTAACATTATCATCCTATCTTTGCCTTCGTCTTCCAAGTTGTCTGTTCCCTTCAGGCTTTCAAATATGATAAATATATTTTTTTTTATTTTCGACACGCATTGCTGTGATCAACATAATAGCAATTATCAATTTTCAACTTTTAGGTTGTAATGCTGTGTAAATTTTGAGGCAGTTACCAACGATTCTGTGCAGCTACAGGACTGAATTAACTCCGAAACGTCCACCAGATGTTGTCCCCAGAAGATATCGACATCTACACGGCCATTAAGAAAATAAAATTTAATAATATTCGGTGGAGTAAAATTTTAAAGCTAATTTATGACGCACATCTTTGACGGACTCCCTCTTAGGTTCAATCAGTGCTTCCCGGCACTGTGGGAAAAGCTACACTAAACATGAAATGCAAAACAATCTCGGTTACACGGTCCATTGCATGGCAAGAAATATTGCGAGAAAGTGTGGCAAATATTGTTAATAAAATATTACGGATGTAATTTAGCAAAGCCTGCGATCTGCAGAAGCCAGCAGCGGGCAGGAACAGAAAACTGACGTCAAAACCAAAAGGAAATAAAAGGGGGGCAAAGGAGGAGAAACAGCGAATGGAATTCAATTCCAATGTTGCAGATTTAAATAACGAGAGACAGGAACACCTGTACGCCTCTCATATTGGAATGTACAGGGTGTTTCGAAAAACTTCGTAGCCTTTGCAATGAGTGTGTACATGCATTGGTGTATTTTTTTCTGTGCTGAGTTTGTGCGATAGCCACAAATCTGAGCAGACGTGCCTAAGCTAAGGTGGTTAGTCGTCATCTTCTCAACGCGGAGAGCCAGGTTTTCGCCCATATCAGTCCATGCGGAATTTTTGGTGGACGAAGTGTCACTGGGACACGTCTCGCCCCCATCGCAACACCAGACTTGCAGACATTGAATTAATGTGATCCGAGGTCATTTTTTTTTTTTTGCATATTACGCGATTCTTTAACTAATGCGATCCCAGGCAAATGTCGTGCAACAGCGAATTCAAACAACGGGACCTTCGCTCACATTGCTGCTAAAAACGTCGCAGACAGGAATAAGGTGTTCTTTACTGAAGCCAAAGCGTGAAGACACCCAAAAGAGTTGTGAAACACACTGTGATGATCAGGCAGGCACCTGCAGTATCTCACAAAGCTACAAGAGAGTTTATAAACTCATAGGAGTCGCTAAAAATATGACTGTCGATTCATCAATGTCACTGTCCTTTCGAGAAAAAGCATCTGGAGGTCTTATTTGACTTTAACATTCCACTTCTTTTTTTATTCAAATACTACACCTTGCTTGGTAAACACAGTATGTTTCAAAACAACCTGGTCATTCCCTTGCACATTAGCATTTTTGAATAATATGAATCGCACTTTTAATTGCTCTTGTCTTTTAAGTAAAACTTGACACCAGAGATATAGCTGCTAAATCATCAATCAAGCACCTTGACTGAACCAATCATTACATTTTTAGCTTCATCATTGCTACTTGAGGGGAAAAGTTTTGTCGGCAGAGGCCTCTAGCGTCATCACATAGCAAACCGATGAAAATCTACGATTTAAATTTCATCATCAGCAACATCATGGCTTAAATCACTTGACTTTTACGGTTATAAGGATTAAGATAAACACAATTCTAGCCTGTCCTTAGACTCTCTGGTTCGAATCCTCGTCTAGGAATGGATAATTCTCTTAACTCTACGACCAACCCCCAGTTTCCATTTCCTTTAGTATTTAATAATTCTAAACATAATGTTGTTCCAACACCTAAGCACTGCACTATGAAGGCACAGAGGGCGGGGACGTGTAGCTCAGCGCATTCTTAACCTTGGCATTAGATGTATATAAATGATCAACCTCAAAGACTGAACTGTTTATGGAAACGAAATAACTTAAATCCATATTGACCTGGACTTCCTACAGCTACTAGCGATCAACTATACAGATTGCCATAACACGACACAAAAACAACAACGTTAAAGAATCACATAATTCCGATATAATTTGGAATATCTTAATATTAATATTTAAAAAATCCAGTCTACTATAGTATTTGGTATTACATGTTAATTTCACTTACAATCAGCGATTTATTTTCGAAACAGAAAACTAAAAAAACTAAAAAAAAAAAAAAAACCGTCTACATATAAAATTTAAGTAGTTTCAAAATGGAAGTGATAATTAAAATTCTAAGGAGCATAAAAAACAACATATAACTAAATGATTATATCCGAAAGTCATAAAAGAAAACACTATGAACAAAGAACGAAAACGCAAAAAGTTCTTCGTTACTTATGTAACAGTTCAGTGTAGTTATTTTATGTTAAACCGCTATTAAACCAAATTTCTTTCTTAAAAGAATATAAACGAAGGGCTGTTGCCATGGAGATGCAAATCGTTTAATAATCGAATAAGAGTACTTCATAAGATCAACGTCAGAGATGCAAAACAAGATAAGTTTTAAAACAGCGTAGTAAAGCAATAAGCAAATCTTGTGAAGTCTCCCTGGAACTAGTTGCTTGAAACATTACTCAAAGACGTAATATCAAGTACAATGTTTGTGCTGAAGAAGCAAACATTACACATGGACAATTCAAAACAGATCAAATCCCCATTATTTGCAAAAACAACCACAAATTTTTTCTTACAAAACAGAGACCCTGGCCATAGGAAACAAACATATACCTTAACCTAACCTAACCTCACGTTTGCACGGAACTAAATATAACAATTTTGTCTCGCAAGACCGGTAGAAAATTGTTTAACTGAAGGATGTCACGAGTCGAACCTAAGATCATCCAAGCAATGCGGAAGATATTACAAATCACAAATAATAAAGGAATTCCACGTAACTAAAACACAGTAATCAGCAGTCAACAGTTACCAATATTAAAGGTACAAGGCGCGTAATAGAATTAACATTATAACATATGGCGGGTTATGAACACTCACCACCTGGTAGCCTGGTCCCCTCCTCCTCCATCTGAAACAAACAGAAATAATCACTTCAAAATATATCATAAACCATTTAAAGTCTAGTGGTAAATATCTGTCCCCGCCTGCTTAACAATTCTAAGTCTGCGGTTTTTATATTACACAAAAATTTTCACTGTAAGCAGCGATTATTTCTTTCAACAGCATTAACAAACATAATCATAATGATGAAATGTTTTCTTTGTGGTAGGGACTTAATTATTAAATAATAGCAGAGTCCCAGCTTCGCGTCAAAATACATTTTGAGGCACACACGCATGCTGAATATGATCCCAAGGTTCATCTCTCTCAAATATGACGCCTTGTAGCGGCGTCGCAAAAAAGGGCGTCGTGACGCTCGGCATCGATATTCCAATTTCTTGTCAACTGGATCAGATGTGATAAATATGGGATCTATTTGTTGTGTAGCGAAACTTGGAGTAATTTTACTAGCGTCGTATCCAACGTCCTCCCGATGATCTGCGCTAAATATGGCGTCGAAACGGCAGTTTTTTCTTTGAGATAATCATTTATGCTTCGTACACTAGTATATGAAGCGTGAATTTCACACGTCATATTAGGACAGTACCGCAAAATATCCTCATTTAGAAGCACACATGTAACCAGAACCTGTCTGAACACCAAGAAGTTCAAAATCCTTATGATTCACCAAAAAAAAACAGGTGTTAATATATCGTAGCTTATTCACGGATCTTTGTAATAAAATTTTTCTATAGATGTACAAGACAAAGTAGAACAATGATCGCGTGTTACCTAAGTCATTTTTCCTCGCAGGTTAGTGACACAAATATTTGAATCACGAAGATGTTACAGCCAGTAGCAATCTTAAGTTTCACTTGATTACGTACAAAGCTACAACCCGTCTCTTCCAATACTAGTCCCCGGTTAACAATCAGTTCGGCGTTTCTATGGGGACGGAGTCAAGAGAAATATTTTGTTGCCTTTACAAGAAAAAAAAAAGGTCACGCCTTACTCGTATCTAGAGCACCAAACATATTTACGGGATTTTCTATTCTCTCTCCTCAACATTAAAGATCTGACAATCACATAAACTTCTGAACCTACATAAAGTGCCCCAAATTCTTAACGTGCATCTCCCGAAGCTAAGATCAAGCCTAAGGTGGGACGCATCGTCATCAAATCCGTAAGGGACTGTATCCAACGACCGGTCGTGTTTTTCATTAAAATATGCTTTGGTCAGTTCGTAAAGACCACTTCATAACTCATGGAAAATCACTGAAAACCTACAACAACACGTCTTCTTTCTACAACGATGTTACGCCACGCGCATCTGGCAGGTTCTTAATCGACGTTTCATGGGAGCTTACTGCCTCCATCATCACTCATGGAGGGAGTAAGCACCTATGAAACGTCTGTCGATATCTACCAGACTCAAGATCCCAGGCGAGTATTCATTCTCGACGCCGTAAGAACCTGAAATCTCACCTGACGTTCCCGATTATGCAATTTTCTGTATCCTCCACTGATCTCGTCTCAAATGCCCTCAATCTGTGTTCCTGCATTCAGTGTACCGGAAGGTTGCAACACATGTTCTGTCTGCATCTTATTTAAGAACAGCGGAAACACGAATCTCTTTACTGTGACTTCAATTCCCACAGTATGAGCAAAGAAACAAATATAAATTAATTATATAAGTTAATTTAATAGTTGGTCAAGTTTAATCAAGTTCTTAATAATTATAATTTATCTTAACATGTGTAACTGAGGAAGACTGCGTTGTTAAGGATCCGGAGAATCTTCCAACACCTGCAAGACTATTTAGCATTTCGTACGTCTAAACTGACCCCTGTCAAATTCCCCGTCGCTGGCTTTGAGACGTGAATACATTAGGAGGCACGTGAAGAGGCTGCGATGTTCACAGCGCCGTGACCATGGAAACAAATCGAAACACAAAACAGAAGAAGGGTCTCCGTATGCGAACAGCAACCCTTCTTCGAGAGAAACGCTTCTGTCAGTTTATGAAGGAAAGATGAGTGCTACATTTCCGCGTTTTTAATGAACGTAAAACACAGTGGCAAGGAAGGATAAAAATTCTGAATGAACTGCAATTCTTCTCAAATTCTGTATTTACAACGCAAATAAAGAGACATAATCCACCTTTCATTAAGCCGGTAAGGGGGTGGACGGGTGACCTAGCGGCCAGAACAGTGGAGTGGAAGGTTCCCGGCACTCCGAGGCGGACAAATTTGTCAGCACGGAAAAAAGGTAGTGACAGGACCAGAGCTGTGGAGTCCTAGTCGGAGTCGGTAAAAATATACATAAATTAAGCTAGACATACAGATGTTGGTCTGTTAGTTACGAGACAGAAAATAATTATGTACCTGGACAGTGCAGAACGCTTATCAGTGTACACTGTTATTATAATTAATCAACATTCAGTCTCGGAAGAGACTGAATGTCAGGCGTGCTTGAAAACTCATTTGCTGCTGTACCAACTTCTGTAATCCGAATCACAGGAATTCCACGCTTCAGTGACTTCGGTGTGGTCAACAGGACGTCAAATTTTGTATTAAATGCTGTGTTCGCGTTGGAACGTAACGCAGGATTATAAAATGTAGAGTAAATGTTTCAAAGAGAAAAAAAGACAAACCATAACTAATTATTTATCTGCAGTTAAATAAGTTTTAATCAAATGCCATAAAATCAGGTACTAAGGAGATGAAGATACAAGAATAAAAGAGAAAGTTGATGTGAAAGGTGAGGGGGGAAGAATGAGGTACCGAAATTTGAGCACTGAATTAGCAGCAGTCGGAGTAGAAAGAAAGAAAGAAAGACTGAAAGAGACAGAATAAACAAGTAGGAAAGAAGGGACGAGAGACAAGAGCACTGAAAAAGACGAGCATAAAGATAAAAGGACAGCTACAAAGTAACAAAAATGAGAGAGAATAATAAACACCGAAAGAAACACAGAGCAAAGGGAAGGAAAAACAGAAACTCCAAATAAAGAACAGACGAAGATAAAGAAAAAGGAAACAAATGAAAGAGGAAAACGTATCACAGGACGATAAAGCACACATCCTTTCGTGTTTTCTGAATAAATAAATTTAAATATTGCCTCTTGTAAAGTACTTATGTGTGTTTATTTAACGACACTTTCTGTAGCTGAGACAATGCAGAGTCGAATGATGGAAATGGTCATGGCTTCATTTAAGATACTGTCCTTGCATTTGCCTGGAGGGACTGAGAAAAACTAAGGAATCCCTCAGTAAGGACAACCAGTTTCCTAGCCGATGCCTGAACCAGGTATCCCCCCCGAATACGAAGTAGGAATGCTAACGATTCTGCAGCGATCGATGTTTCGTTTTGATATTTCGACTTAATAAACCGATGAGCGGGGCCCGCGTTATAAAATGACTTGAGACCAAAGGCACGCGAGTTCACGCGTACAAAAAGTGACACACACGCTCTTCGACTAAGTGCCTTCGAAACGTCGATAAAAAGCGATGCCGCGTCCAGACACTGGAGGAGGTGGTCGCAGGCGCTTCGTTAATGGAGCGGAGCAGCCCTCAGTAAGCTCCGAAGGGCGTTTTATACGGACACGCCCGTCTGCTGGTTGAGGTCACCACTTCGAGAATAGATCATAAGGCGCAACACTTCTCACTATACATTTTAAACGAATCGCCTTTTGTCAGCGCTTTTTACGCAATTCGCATTGCGCTAGAAGAGTAAAAGGAGCCTGGACTACGTCTTATCACGTACATAATTTTGATATATTTCATCATTCCTCAAGCATCTGAACATGTTCAAAACAATTCATTAGCTAAGTAAGAATTGAGGTTCTCACAGCGGTCAG